TCCTAATCCTGGACAGGTTTAAGAATATCATCTCATGAGCCTGGTTAGGACAGAGGTTGCCGAAGAGATGTGTCTGAGCAGTAGACTGAGATGGCATCACTTAACAATGCAGTCTGATCCCAGTATAGTCTCTTCTTAGCTTGATGTTCAAAGTGCCTGTGAACAAACCTCTGATATTTCCTATTCATGAAAGATCTAATCACCTGCCTCCTGATCTGAGGCCACTCACGTGAGTCTTCTATCAACAGACTCAACCGATCTGTGATTGTGTCTTCCTTCCCAATGGATAAGTGGCCAGTTAAGCATGTCTTGTGGGACAATCCGTTTCCACACTTGCAAGGCTTTCTAACACAAGGAAGCATATCCTCCTCTTCTTGTTGATGTAAAACATTATGGCCTAATTGTTCATATGTATTAGGACCAACTTTTGGTATACTAGTCTCTAAAGGTTCTTGGCAATCAAGACTGCGCTCTCCAACAGTTACGATGGTCCTGAAGATACTGTACACAGAATCTGTCTGCACAAATGCCTCATCCCTGCCAGAGCTCATCCGTGGTTACTACCGTTTGGATCACCAGAATTTGAAAGCCCCCTTCCAACTGACATCAAGTCACAGTGCATTGGAGGTCACTCGCCACCTGGATGTTATGTGGACCTCTCTGGGTATGTCTACATTGCAGCTGGGCGGTGTGATTCCCAGCATGGGCAGCCAGACTTGCCTGTGCTCTGCGTGAAATAGCAGTGTGGAGGCTGCAACACAGGCAGTGGGTTGGGTTAGCCACCGAAGTTTGGACCGGGGAGGTCAGACAGACTTGGATTTGGGTGGATAGCCTGCAATGTCCACCAGCACTGGGAACTGCATCTCCCAGCTGCAGTGCAGACACACCCTGTAGAGCTTAGCAACTCCAAGACTCCAGGGTTGATTGAGTTTGGCTCATCTGTTGGCATGTGATAGCGGATATCTTTTGGCCCTGGCAAATCCTCTCTGCTGGATCCACAATGTCCTGATGCAGGAATGTCCTGAGTTAAGCCTTCTACCACAGGATTCTTTTGTACTGTCTGTCTCTACCGAACAAACTGAGACTTTGGGCAGATAATCTTGAATCCCAGAGATACAAACAAGTTGATACCAGCAATGGACTGATGCTTGGATCTCCTCCAAAGTGATGGTCTTGATCAGCCAATTATCCAGATAGGGGAACAACTGAACTCCATTTTTTAGGTATGTAGCTACCTATGACTGTATCTTGCTGGACCAAGACAAATGTGCCTTAAACACAATCTCAATGCCTAGTTGAGACACTCAACTCAGTACTCAAAGACTGTGCTACTATGGCCTAGAGAGCCAATATTTCATCTGACTTATGAGATGCATCAGAGGAAGCCAAGAGAGTTTTGAGGCTCTCCATGCAGGACTTGACCGCTCACCGTGATAGCCGTGAACAGATCTCACAGTGGAGCCAGTCCTGCTCCATTCCAAAGTACAGGGCACAGTAGATATATATGCCTGTTTAGGAAGGACTTGGTTTGACCACACTCTTAACACATTTTAAAGCCTAGAATGCTACCTTCTCTCCATACCTCTATATAATAAAAGGAATTGGGGGAAGAAGGGGGGGGGAGGAACAAAGTCAAAATGTTCACCTGTACAAATGCTGAAAACAAGGAAAAACCAATCCCCTCGAACAGAGCTGTA